AAACCCCAGAATGTGGATGTCCTTTTTGTTGGTTGGCGTCGGGCCATTGCAGCATCCGTCGTGATGACGTTAGGGGGTAATACATGAGATACAGTTTTATGTAGTCTATGTAGTGGGGCGACTCGGGTGACAAGCGAGGACCTGACCAGTCTGCTGAGCCTGGATGCTGCTGGAGCGTTGCAGCTCCTGAGAGTTTATCTTGATCATCCTGCCGAAGCCAACCTTGCATGCGGCCCTCCGGATGAAGTGAAACACGACTGCTGTACAGAGACTCGTGGATGGAACCAGCGCGGGACTGGGTGTGAGTGAGGGGAACTCCACCCGTCGACTGACTGGTCGCAGTTTTCCGTCCTTTTTTTTGACAAAGAAGAATGGTGCCCCCCAAGGCGACTTGCTGGGTCGGATCCTGCTGGTTTTTAGGTTTTCTTCTAAGAATTCATCCAGCGCTTTCTGTTCATCGATTGCCATTGCGTATACTGTTCCAGAATAGGGTTTGCTGTCTGGTAAAAGTTCAATGACATGGTCCCATGGTCGATGTTCTGGGAGCGTGTTGAATGTTTCCTCTTTAAATACGTCACTGAATGGACGATACTGTTCCGGGACCAATTCTTCGAAAGTTTTTGCTTCCTTCAATTTGTTGGCCTCAATAGCGATGTCCAGTGCGGTGGCTTGCAGCATCTTGGCTGATAAATAACACGCATACTCCCTCTGATTTTGGGTTTTCTGTCTTATCCAAGTGTTGGGGTCAATCATAAATACGGAATCTTCCTCCTCGATTTCGACTTGGTTAATTTGCTGGGTTTTCCGCGCATCGCGGTGGACAACGCGTGAAATTCAGCAGTTGTTTTTGCCAGTCAATTTTGGGGTTGTGGAAGTCAAGCCATTCGTAACCAAGAAAAACGTCTAATTTGCCGAGAATTGTGATTAGCAAATTCAAGACTTCTTCATGGTTTCCGATTTGACCCTTCACTCGTATGTATTCGGTAATGTTACCAGCCACATTTAGAGTGCCGTCTGCATTAAATACTGGTATATCATTTTCAAAATGATGTTGCTCTAACCCGAGTTTTACAATGGTATTCTCATTGATACAAGAACCCGTGCACCCGGTATCTAGGAGCACTATCACGTCATTTCTTTTCTCTGTTTCAAGTTGCGTGAGGGTTAATGGCAGGTCCATTTGCATGCCATTTTTTAATCCTCGCACGACCCGGAATAATTTAGGTCCTTCGGAAAATATGGGAATCTCTGTTTTTGGTTTTTCTGATCGTCGCACTCGATCCTTTTCTGAATGTTTTTGGTCTTTGTTAGAGGAATTAAGCACAGGTTTAGAGGCCCTGCCGAGCTTCTGTGAAGAAGACTCCTCTGCCTGTTTGATTGGTTCTGTAGCATTAAATACATCCTGTGCTACTTGAGACTCGAGTTCTTTGTAAAATTGCATGGAAACATTCTGAATATAGATACTGTCTGGGGTCGGTTCTTCTATGACTAGCGTAGAATATTTATTATGAGAATCAAGAGGCACAGAGCTTGGTGCACTCAAGCTGTGCCGAAGCCAAAACCCGCTGCTTTGAATCCTTCAGGGTCCTTCCTTCACCACTCCTTGATTGCCGAGATGAAATCAGACATCGGCTTTGTCCAATCCACCTGTCTGACCTGATTCGTGGTTCTTCCCTTCCTGTTGGGAATGTGCCATGCACTTCCACACATTCCCGTCTCCGACTGCTTGGCCTTGCATTTGAAGCACACCCGGTCTACGTCCATGGGTTGTCCTGTTCCCATGAACATTGTTCCCGTCCCATCACGTCTCTGCGGCGGTTGTGCTCTTTGCGTGGCCTGCATCTGATTTGTGGCGTTAGGCACTGGCGCTCCTTCCTTCTTAGGCGGTATTGTTCTCAGGCCCCGCATGGCCTTCTCTTGCTGACGCTCTCGCCAGGTGTTGTCGAGTTTGATCAGTACGTCCTTCCATCCGTCGTATGTCGTCGGCACCATGACTTGTCTGTAAACCTTGTCGACAAGTGCCTTGTTGACAGGATATACTGATCTTCTTTCTTGTACCCGGCTTGCGTCATTAGTATTTCCAATTCCTGAAAATACTCTTCAACTGGTCTCTGTCCTTGGCGCAGATGGTCAATCTTGATCTGCGCCTGTGCAGCAAGATTCGAATCCTGAAACACGTTGGTGATCTCCGTTTTGAAAACCGCCCACGTCTTTCCCCAGCTTTCTGTCTCCTCCCTGAAGTGTTGATCGTAATAGTTTTGTGACCAAACTTCTGCCTTGGGGCCTCTGAGATATGAGATGACGAAGTCGATCTTCTCATCGTCTGTACCGAAATCCTTCTTATTGTTTCTTAGGTACGTGAGTACCTGTCTCCACCAGGCCTTGAACTTGGCCTTGTTTCCGTTGAAGTACTCGGGCTTTGCAACGTGCCCTTTCCTTTCTTTCTTGTCGTCTTCGCCTGCCATTGCTCTAGCAATTAGGGTTTGGATGGCTATGGGATTTAGGTCGGGTGGATGTCAGAGGTTTCTGACTGGGGTGAATGTGGGGTGGTGGAATATGAAATTGGTGAATATGGTCGGGTTGGTCCGAACCAAGGGGTTTCGTTGTTGATCTGATAATGGTGATCGGCTGTGGTGGGAACTTCGTTGGAAGAACCAAAACCTGCTACTTAGTTCGCAGATTTTGGGTAGATGTCGGTGCTAATGGATAGGAATAGGAATGATTGCAAGGCTGTCTGACCCGGGTCTTCTCGTCTGGTACCCGGTGTCTGCCTCTTTGCTCAAGGGTCACGAGCCCAGGAGCTTCTGTACCCAAGGTAGGATATTGCCGCTTTTCTAAGCTCCCTGACACCACTTTCACTGACTCTCAAGAGTCACTACGGTGCCACTACTTCCCTATGAACACTGCGACCAATGGGGATATGGTAGTCCCTGTGTCCACAGCCCGCGCTATTCGTGTAGGTTTCCGCCCAGCTTAGTGCATACGCACCACCCTTGAATACAGGCGTGGGATTCAAACGGTTAGTAGTAAAGGGTTATATTTCTATCTAGGTGCCGTCTGTAGCGCCTGATAGCCTTCAGCTGTTGTTCTTGAATCTGTCTTGGAGCATGGGGTGTGATGGGATAGAATAGGGGTTCGGATATGGGATAAATGTAGGTGGTGTAGGATGGGTAGGATCGAAGAAAGTACCGTGTTCGACTCCTTGTTACAGGTGCCACGGTGAGAGAAGAATATGGAGGGATATCGACAATGTTGATGTGAAGGCGGAGAGGTAGCTTCAATCTAATGACACGAATGAAATGCCAGATCGAAGCTGAGGTCTGAGACCTTTGCTGTCGCAGCTTATATATTGCAGGATGCCCAAATATACTTGTACATGCGTTAATGGAAAGGTTTGCATGAGTATCTAAGACAATGTGGAAACCAGTCGTTATTAATGTAGAATAGTTTATGATCGGTGAGGCAGCAATGCGTAAATAATACATGATCGTGAAAGGGTTTTTTAAGATGAGATATGCATGGTTGCAATGTCTGTGCGGTGCGTGTGTCAAACACGTGTGATCGTGAAAAAGTGTTTTGATCGTAACAATAGCCGACTTCTCAAACTGCCCTTTCAATGCCTTCCAAGACTCCCAAGCATGCTCCACATCAGCAACCAAATACTGCCAATCCTCAGAGACCTTCCCATAGATCAACCAGTTCATCTCTCCATCCAAAACCTCCTTGTCCTTGGGAACAGCAGCAGTCAAAGGATCATGGACATACTGTGCTCCACAGGCGTTCAGGAATTTGATCATAGGCTTGGACCAGGTGAACCAGTTGGAGTCATTGAGCTCTGGGACACTCTCAAGACCCTTGAGGATAGCATTGCCGATAGCCATGGTGAGTAGATCGAGGTAGATGTTGAATAGATCGGAAAGTGATAAGGGTGAAAATTGCCAAAGATGTCCTTATGGTCAGAGTGTTGGGCTCATAACCTATTAGACGTGGCAGGGATAGACCAGAAGGACACTAAAGATGCCCAGAGACTCAGACACAGACACAGACACAAACCGGAGGCTAGTATAGAGCAACGGACTAAGGAAAAGCACATCCAGTAGAACAAATACCAAAAATGCGAAACTGTTTGTACCTATTTGGTTATTGTGGCTGCTGAAAGCGTCCGATACAATCCAATCCTAACACCAAGACCAACCTGTATAGGTCTCTTTCGGTTGATGCTGGTAGTAGTGGTACACTTCCAGCCTGGAGGGGATGACATTCAGCGTATGGCAACAGCACAGTTTGGTATTCAAATGATAACATTGTCTGGCAACGTGGTCTCATTGTCCCAGAGCAGTCTGGGTTCCAAAAATGCGAGGAAGCTATAGCACAATTCCTCGCACTCACTGAAGTGCTCCGATGTAGGTACCTTCAAAGGGAGTCCACCATTGGGATCTTTATAGATTTCAAGAAGGCCTATGACAAGGTCCATCACTAGGCCTTGTACTGCATAATAGAACATGTAGGGGTGAGGGGTCACTTCCTTCACGTTGTAAAATACATGTACAACTCATCCCAAATGTAGGTCCAAGCAGGGGGAGGCCTAGGAGACCCCTTCAACATGAAGAGGTGCACTTGACAAGGCTGTCCCCTGTCCCCACTCCTGTTCATCCTCTTCATTAACAAAATACTAATGGACTGCTCAACTGGGGTTGTGGTCCCCTTA